GAAGATATGAATAATCAACAGATTTGAATGGAATCTCTAACATTTTCATGTAGAATAAAGACAAAAGAGTGATTATACAAATTACATTTATTGAAATTTGAACCAGAAGATGAAGTCTCAAAGAATGTTTTAAATAAAAGGACATAAAACAAAAAGGTGGATAATAATAAAATCTATTAAATGTATATGTAAAGACATTTGGTCAAATGAAATGACACTGAGCCAGTGATAACAGTAACGCCAGCGTGGATGAAGCTGGTGCAGTTCTTTCTTCATGCCCCCCCTCCGTCAGTGGCGTTTTCTCCCGGAGGCCAAGGGAAGCCAGGCTTCCCCTGTTTTTTCGGGTTGTAGTTATAATTTAAATAAATAAATAAAAACACTTTGTTTTGTTTCGATAATTCTCATTTGCTGAGTGTTGCTGCCGGCCCGTCCCTCCCCCATTCTCATTGAGTATTTTACAAAGAGTGAAACAAACAGCGCCCCTCTAGATGTTATGGTGAAACAGTAGATTGCACTCACTGTTGCGAGAGGAGGCCAGCCGAATATGGCTTCCCTTGGTGAAAGAAAATTGAGGGATTGACCAATCAGATGAGGCTCACGTGATGCCCCTGCCAACCTGTGATTGGTCAGGGCCATGCCAAGGGAAGCCAGAGGCGGCTGGCTTCCCTTGCCTCACAATCCAATCAAATCGCATAGTGTTGCAGTGACGCGTCCTAAAATCCGGAAGTAAGCTGCGCTCGGTTTCCCTCGACAAAAAGCAATGAGATTTCTCCATAGGATTTAGGAAAATAGCTCGAAATAAGGTCAGTGGAAAACGAACCTGTTAGATAAATGCAAGTTTTGTTCAGTCGGATAATATCCACATGTCTACCCTGCTTTTATAATTTTCGAATCATAAATCTAATCGATAGAAGATAGATAGCGTCACTGCATCACTCTCACCGCCGTTAGAAAGTAGCAAGCAACTGAAGCAAGTGCAATTATGGAGGGTGGAGTATTTCATCAAAAATAATTGTACTAAACTTCCGCTACAGCAGCAACAACAAATACAATCTGATGACAGGCCAATGCCCAAACTGGAGCTGTGTACAGCGAGGAAAAAAGGAGCGAATCGGACGTAAAACGTTAAAGGTCTCCTGATTTAGTTTATGAATGAATGCTTATTAGAGTTTCGGCTGGAGAGTGCATGCGGACCTGTCGGTTAGATAACAGGCGTGTGTAAGTCCTGCATCTGTATGATATAAATGTGTGTAAAATGATACCGGGTGCTGTAATCACTCATCTGGTTACGTTATCACATTGACCACCACACCCCCGACCCAAAAGAAAGGACGTATTATTGGCTTCCCCTATTTTTTTTCCCACGCCACGCCACTGCCCTTCGTGCTGTCCCCTCAGAGGAAGTGGGAAAACGGGATAAGACTCTGGACGCCACGCTGTCTCAATGATCCACACTGTTAATATGAGAGGAAAATAAATGTTTTAGGAAATGAAAAATATGAAGTTAACAAATAAAACACAGCTCATGGACGGTAGGTTTTCCTACAAAGTTAACTCAGCCTCCATTGATTTTCATATCAAATTAGCGTGTTAATAAAATAAGCTATCATGGCTTATACTTGCATATCTAAACAGAATCATGAAAACCTGTTGGTAGAGTCAGGCACACGAGTCTGTTTGAGTGTGTGCGCCGGTGTCTGAACGCTCACTCACTGCTAGCTATGTAGCTAACTGTTAGGCTACTTGCTAACTTTCATAGCACAGCTTTACTTCTCACTTAACACAATAAAGAAACAGAACGTATAGCACAAACAACTCAAATGATCAATACTTACATATATTTTCACTTGTAGTATTATAATAATTGAAATGCTGGTTCTTCTGGGGGTCTTCTGTCCACGCTCAGCTAGCTACCGCACCGCAGTTGCCTGCACTGTACAATCGCTGGAGGACTGGGCTGTCACTCAAAAACTGAGTAGCCAATGGGGACGCACCCCTGAAAGTCCCGCCCACCTGGGAGGTTTGTGTCAGAATCTCAAACAAAAAATGAGTGAGCGCAAAAGAGAAAGCTGCAGCGAGAGCAAAAGTCTGATCATTGAGAAAGAAGAAACAAGAACTGCAAACAAAAACCTATGTTAAAACAAAGAAAAAAGACTTATAGTTTACATGATTACACAAATGATTTGTTTGCAACTTATAGTTTTATTTTTGAAATTTATTTTATTTTGCTTGACTCAGTTTTTTTCTTCTTTTAAACTCATAGTTTTGCTTTATTCTGAAAAAGTGTTGCTTTCTCTTTATGATACAAAACTAATCCCATACTAGTAGCAGCTTCACTTGTAGCTTCAGTGCTGCTAGCTTCTTTCTTCTTGTGAATGATATTCTTTTTAGAAAAGAAGTCAAGTAAAAAATGTTTGCCTGCCATTATAGAGCTTTTTAGTTAGCGTTCTTGAGGGAAAGAGCTGCCGCAAAATCGGCGGGCGGCAAACTTTTGAAGGAAATCGTTTTTATTTTTTATTATAATTACTGTGAAATGTATTATGTTTTTGTCATTATAACAACAAATACACACTTGCAACTGATAACACTGGCAAATATTTTTATATTTATTAGACTATTGAAAAAAAGATCATGCTCCAAATAAGTGGGGGTACGGCGTACCCCCGCGTCCAACGCCCACTACACCACTGAATATACCTCTCAATGATATTCATTTGCCTGAGGGTTTGTTTCATAATCCTGTTTACTTGTGTTCCCCTCTCAGCACCCCATCCTTCTCCAGCTAATGTGACTCATGGATTTATTTGTTCCGTGTTTCTCTCAGTGTGCCTCTCTCTGTACGGCTGTCCCACCACTGTCATACTCACTTTGTCTGCTGTAGCATGCAACATCAGCTCATTCAGAGAGTCAGGTTTTATTTCCTTTAATAAGACCAAGTCACGGAGGGGTGAGAGCGCCCCATAATAATGCATTTATTCCTGCTCCCTGCCCATTAACTCCGCTGTTCAGTCGTGGTTTGCTTCTGTCTGACACAACAATGTTCATGTGGAGAACTGAAAGAAGGTACAAACTCCATTAGAGGCTCTTACATAATGTGGTTATGTCATCATTTAATTATATTTACATGGCTGACATCTCGCTCCGTATCACTCATGATGAATATGGAAAGTTGCCACAATGAGTGCTGCAGCATTGTTGTCTTTATGAGTCATAGAAGGAGACGCAGACTGGTCTTTGCATAACTTTCGCCACATGTTGTAAATTCATCAGGGCTTTTAATCTCTAATTGGGACTTGGAGCATGTCCTCGGATGCCCATTAAATTCCAGTGAATTATAAATGACGTGCTAATAAATGTTCCCACCTCTTCCTTATTTAGTGGGAATGCTGATACAGCATTCCCACTACTTGTTCTTCTACGCACAAAATTCTTTATTATTATTCCGCCGGGTTTTTTGCGCCTCTTGTGCTCCCACAATCCACATCGCAGAAACTCCGTTCAAACATCAAAACGTTCAGCTCGATCGGGAATCAATGGCTATTACTTTTCTCATTCATAACTTTCATAATTCGCGAGATATATCCCATAATTCATCACATTTTTAACATGGAAGTCAATGGAGAAACTCTTCAGACTTGAAAAATCTTCATGCGACTTAAACTGCTAACTGTTCCTTCATACTTTCACTCAGAAACCTCATTCTAACTTTAAAATGTTTCACATCTTTCTGACATTATTCATATTACAGCAACAACTTTTAAATCAGATTCATACTTTTAGAAATATTAAACATTGTTCAGACCTTGGTAAAGAGCATAGACTGTATAAATGGACGTAGGGTCCGTGAAGTCACCCATAGGATTCTGCAGAGTTGCCGAGAAGCCCTTAGTAGGCGGAGTCGGCCACTAACGGCTCGACGGTGACGTCAGAGTTTAACTCCCGCCTGCTCCAAATAAGGGCAAAGAGGCGGGACTTCCTGCCACCGAGCTGGAAGTTCCAGAGCTAGCTGAAGCTACCAAGCAAAGCTAACATGCTCCCCATCTGCACACTGCCGTCGCATTTTACGTTTCTAAGGTAAGCGGACATGAAACTATTCAGCAAAACTATAAATAATAATTGAAGTTATTGAGTTTTTAGCATAATACTTCAGAATCTTAAAATCCCTTAACGTTTGTATGCAATTGTGCTAAATTCAACACTGGAATCAAGCAAATATTAATGTTTGTATGACATTAGTTATTTATATTTTGATATCACTTAATTATACGTTTAATACATTTAAGTCAAGCTAAGGTACATGTGATGGTAGCTAGTTAGCGCTCTTACCTGTGAGGCCTCCTCCAAACAGCATAATAACCAGACTGTATCATTACAACTAAGTACCATTCTAGATCCTTGACTTTAGACAAACAATTCAAAAGACAACATGTATTTAAAGACCAATCTTTATTTGAATGTGCCTCTTAACCTGATATATTAGTTATACAGTAATAGTATTGACAATCTAAAAAAACTGAGCAACTCAACAGTGAACTTTATGTTTCTTATTGTCTAAAGCATTTATTATTTTCATTTTCCCCCTCTCATATTCAGTGTGGACGGATTGAGACAGCGTGGTGTCCAGAGAGCAGCAGAGACTTCAGGGAGAAACCTCGGTGTGATGGACGTCCTGTTGGTTTGGAGAGGACTGAGGGTCTTTCCTCAGCGAGGAGGACCAGGCCTGATGGAGGAGCCCATGCTGGGCATAGCTGATACCAACTGCACAGGCCTAGTCTGTCACTTTATTTGACTAAATGTGTTTACTTATACATTTCATAGGTGTACACCATAGACTGTATATATAAATGGACGTAGGGTCCGTGACGTCACCCATAGGATTCTGCAGAGTTTCCGTGAAGCCCTTAGTAGGCGGAGTCGGCTACTAACGGCTCGACAGTGACGTCAGAGTCTAACTCCCGCCTTCTCCCGCCTGCTCCAAATAAGGGCAAAGAGGCGGTGCTGAGGCGGAGCCGAGGCGGGACAGGGCGGGACCTGCTGCCAACGAGCGTGACGTTCCAGACCTAGCTCAGGCTAAGAAGCTAAGCTAACATGCTCTCAGTATTAAGCTAACAACCTATGCTAACAACACAGTCTATGCTAACAACCCAGCTTGCGGTCACTGCTCCTCGTTCCCGGCATATTCTGAAGGTAAGATACCCTGTAACTTTACAAAACTTGTCCTTTTGATTTAAATGTTCTTGAACCTACACTATACAATTGTTTTTTAAGTGCTTCACCGTTTTTCAAATATAAATGTCATTTGTAACTAAACTTTGTAAACTAGCAGAGATATGGCCAGTGTTGCGTGAATTAAATTGAATTAATGAAATATGACTGTAGAAAAAGAAAGGTGCTTTTATATTGATTAAACCATTTTTATTTATTTCAGCATTAAGAAAAAAGAAGATGGCAACCTCCTCCACGCCAAACTGCACAACCTGTAAGTTGATGGTCCTGGCTTACTTTACATTACTTCAGATGGTTGACATTACACACAAACATACTATCCATATATGTATATATATATACATGTGTGCACAATTGTAGATAAACAGCACACAGTATATAAATATATATATATATATAAACTGTGTGCTGTTAATCTGTTTTTTGAGGTTTTGCTCTCTTGTTACTTTTAACCATACGGGTGTGATTTCATAGTTATTTTGTATGTTATTGTCAAAGGAACAAAATGAGCAACCCTTTATACTTTCATTTATTTTCCTCCCATAGTGACTGTATGGATAATCGGAGACAGCTATGTCCGGCGTGGAGCCCAGAGAGCTACAGAGACCATCGGCAGCAACCTTGGCCTCGACCTGAGGGTGTGCTGGTTCGGTTGGGGTGGACTGCGCTGGAGAGGTTGTAGCAGGACAGGGAGAAAGTAAACCCACTCCTACAGATTCTCTGAGAAAAAGGGGAGTGGCTAATCAAGCACCCCTGAGAGAAACTGGAGGAAACAATCAAGAGAATGATTGGCACCTGTGTGCTGTTAAAAGGAGGACAGCATGTCATTCGAAAGAGGGAGACAGAAGCAAGAGGAAGTTGGAATCGAACAAGGAGAAACGTGGATTCTTGAGGACATCATCTGCTGAATCAGGCTATTTTTTGGGAGTTTTTGCCACTGAACCCAGGAGCTGTTGGGGAAACATTCAACTTTCCCCTTCCAAGTTAACCCTGCAATCCAGTGAGCTATTCTGGCCTGTCACCCTCAGATAAGTGGTTCTCACTACACCAATATCATTTCTCCTCCTCTAGCACTCTACCCACACACACACCCCACACTCTGAACTGGAAAAGCTGAACTTTACAACTTTACTTTCACACATCCTTATCCCCTGAAATACACTCCTAAACTGAGTGACAAAGGACAAAAAAGACTTCTCCCCTCCCCCACACTCACTCACAGTCAATCCCCAGGATGTATTGATGTTTTGTGAGTTAACTTGGCTTATTTGTTTGTATGTATTGGAGTTAAGTTTATCTGGTAAATGGTCTGTGACATGAGTATGTTTGTTTGATGTACTGATTTATTATTTGGAGTCAACAAAAATACAGACATTTGATGTTGAAAGTGAATTGATTTATTATTTTTCCTTTGTAAAATTCAGTAGCTAGGTCACCGGGCTATCCCTCTTTTTCTGTATCTAAAAAGTTTAAATTATTCGTTCAGGGATAAGACCTACGCTACAAGGTGTCATCCCCTTCTTTTCCTACTCCCTGCGAGGAAAAGCAGTCCCGGATGTCCTCCTCATCCACTGTGGCGGCAATGACTTGGGGGATGTGCCCAGTGTTCAGTTGCTGAACCAGATGAAGGAGGACCTGCACCAGCTTCACCATCGGCACCCTGGCATGAAGATCATGCTCTCCCAGATAAACCAAAAATAAATAAATGACATTCATATTTTCCCTTCTTTTGTCTACTGCTTACTGAAAATGTTAGTTATCACATCAAAATCCGACTATCAAATGAAAGGATAAGCTAACCATACAATACAGAAAACATTACACATTAAGGCTCAAATCTTTTCCCACGCCGTAGCGGTCTGAAAAGAGTCCCAAGTTTAAAAACACAAAATCTTGACAATGAATAATATCCTGTCATTTATCAGTGACAATGCAAACAACAAGAAGGTCTCCCCTAATCCCATGTATTTTGGCATCAACTATGTCATAAGCATACCATATTAGAATGTAATTATGAAGTGCAATACCCACAATCCCTACAGGGTCGTAACATCACAGAAGATAATACCTATTAGAGTTTCGAAATTGTTCAGTATGCAGATAAATATTTGTTTTACAATAGAAACATTTTTCTCAATAAATGTTCCCACATGTTGTGAGCATCAACTTTAAATCTTTTGTCAACAAATAAAACATCTTAATTTCCTTCACGACAACATTTTGTTTATAACACCACTACATTAACAATAAGCATAGGAAAATGATAAATGTCTACATTTAAGATTGTGCTTTTAGTCTTTATTTAATCAGATCTATTTCACATTGAAAATGTGATAAATACACAAGCCACATTGAAAGTTACATCTTGCATTTGTTGACTTAAGTACACTAGAACATAAATGAAAGATGTGCAACAACTGTATCTAATTAAAATGATGTAATTTATGTACAGGGTTGGGAGGGCTACTTGCCAAAAACAAAACAAAAAAAGTATCAAGATATAAAAGTAATGTAACCTGATAACTTTATTTTTCTTTTGGATTACCTCAATATCAAATGCAATGCAAATAAACACAGGAGAGAAGAAATATTAATATTATTTGTTTACTTAAATGTATAATATAATACCATAAAACAGATTCAGGCAGTAGGTGTATAGATTCACAATTAAAGTATTAGCCTACAGAACAGTACCGCTTCCAGAGAAGAGATACAATTTGATCATTTTACAACAAACACTATACTGTATGCTCTTTTTAGGTTTTGAATAAGATTGTAATCCTGAGTTTCCCTATTATTAAAAAAAGTAAAACTAATCCGATTACATATTTTCCTATGTAACTAAGGATTACACTTTCCTTTTTTTCTATACGATCTTGATTCGTGTTAGATGTAATCCATTACTACCTAAACCAATAAAAGTCATAACTTTTGGAAAATTGTCTCAAGTTATAACGTATGCCTTCAATCTCTTTCATGTGGAGAAGACATCACATTGGCCGAGGCGTTGCAACTTCCCTCAAGCGTCCTACATGAAAGAAAGATCACATGTTAAAAATGTGTGCACAAACTATTCAGTATGACCCGTCTTAGTTTAAAGCCCAAGTGTAAGAGTGAACAGAGGCGGAGTCTGCCTGTTTTCCAATTTGTTTTGTTTGTTGGCTGCTGCTACCCAAACCAACATCCTCACAAGCATTGACTGTTGGAATGTCATTATGCTCCACATGTGGAACAACAAAGGCTTCTTCAGGTGTGTCTTGTATCATAATGATATTGCTCTGATCAGCAGCAAGACTGTTTTCACCACTACCATGGTCTACATCTGCAACCTCCTCATTGCTGTTAACAGTCGAACTAGGACTGTCACTTACCTAGTCATTGTTCCTCACCCTGCTTTTCCTTCTAGGCTGTTGTTCTTTGCCATTGGTGAAATAGAAAATGGTGGGCACTGAAGTGTTTTTCAGGCATCTCCTTACCTAATAAAAATAATAAACAAAAACACATACAATAACTTTTTGAGGTCTGTAGATATTCAACTTTCTTTTGAATAATGTTGTTTTAAATTTAAGAGTGCATTATAAAAGACAATAGAGGGCCAACATGTTAACTATGCAGTTAATCCATTCAACAATTACGTGTTTCCAAGATTCAGATTCAAAGGATTTATGTCATATGCACATAGGCTACAGTGTAGGAATGGCAATGAAAATCATCTGTCCCGAGCTCCTCCAACAATGCAACATAGTTATATAAGACATAAAACAATAAAATAAATTCAAAATTAAATTAAGAATAATAAATTAGTGCAGGCAGAAATCTATATACACGTAAATATAATAAGACATATGCAAGAACAGAATGTAAAGATAAATATAGTAAGATGAAATTAAATCCTTTTTTTTTTACAGTGATAGCTGTTAAGATAAATAAGTTATAAGATGACAACAGATGAATGAATGTTGCTATTAAAATAATGTAAAAAAAGGTAATATAATTCATCTGTTTTTAACATAGAGTATGTGGGGGGAAATGGCAATTATCTATCTATGATAAAGAGTCTTTGCATAAATTGAAGAGAAATGTGATGGTTTGCAAAAAAATTCGATTTCTATGTTTCTATACTTAACTGGCAAAATCTTAATTTGGCCTTTAATCAAAAGAACATTACTCATCACTGATGTGCAAGCTGTGCCATAACAATTATTTAGCATTGTATGATGTATAACATGTATTTAATTAGTAACAACAATTTACACTCACAAATGGAACCAAGTTTTTTTTTTTTTTTAAAGGATCTGTACCCATGAGTCCGTGTTGAAGTGATGACTCTCAAAGTGTTCACTGCACAGGCGGAGAAACGTTGGGGGTCCATTTATTCCTCCGGATGTTCAGCACCCACTGGTCCAGCCTGTCTGGATCACCTAAAGGAAACCTTTATTAAAAAATACATGAAAACCGACCCAAAGACAACAGGAGGGTTAATGCCATATTCACTTAATAACGCAACTTTTACAAATATTTCTATATAGTCTGTGTTGGTACATGTAATCTAGGTTGCACATTTCCTGCTGAAATACATGCATGGGCCTACCAAGTTACTGCGTGGCACTTTGGTTTTGATAAAACAGTGTAGTTACACTATATAAATGTTACATTCATAATCAAACGAGACAATATGCAAGATAAATAGCTATTTGTTGTTATTCTTAATGCTTGTCATTCACACGTTAAGAAAATAAAATAAGTACCGATACTAGGGTTGCCAACCGTCCCGTATTAGCCGGGACGTCCCGTATTTGAGCCAAAAGGGGCGTGTCTCATACGGGACTTTGTTTGTCCCGGACTCCCGTGTAAAGGGAAACATAAAAAATATTTGTCTGTTTGCGCGCAATGCAGTGTGTCTGTGTGTTTGTGTGCTCAAGTGCCCGAAGGGCGCTTGGACCGCTCATTTGACAGGGCAGGCACAATGCTCGTGTGTGTGTGTGTGTGTGAGATTTTCTCCGGTGGGCCGCGGTCGCGGCATCATTGTTTGTGTGGCATGTCAGCCTGTTCAGAAAAGACTTGTGTCTTACAACAAACAGTGGGAAGAAAAACACAGTTGGGTAAAGCCTGTGAGTGGAGATCTGTCTCGGGTCTTCTGCGTGTGTGTGCGTGCGTGTGTGTGTGTGTGTCAGGCTTGGAATTTCATCATTTTAGGGGCAAGGCCATTTGGCCTTCCCATTCACATTTTTTTTAAGGGCACAAAGGCCACATGACAGGGCACAAAGGCCGTTTGGTTAAATTACGCTGGTCAATCAACATGACTGAAAAGTGTAGCACTAACGTCAACACCAGTCGTTTTACAAATGGCTGAATAGCAATAGTGTTTCTTAAAGGTATACGTTAAGTTCAGCCATAAACCACATAAGTCAGTCATGTATTATATCAAAACCGCTTAGCAAGAAAAATACTAGATTCAAAGGTGACAGCTATCTGCTAGCTTGTAGAAGCAACACTAGATTTAGACCCCTTGAAGGGAAGACGTTAGCGCTATCCAAACTAGCTAGCTATCGCTAGTTTTCATGACAAAATGTAACGAGTCGACTTTAAATAGGCTAATACAATGGTAAT